GTCCTCCTCTCTCTCTCTCTCTCTCTCTCTCTCTCTCTCTACACCATGAGCGAACTTGAGCATTCAATTATTTAGATACCAAACCCCATGACCTGGGCTCCAAGAAGATTCGTAAACTACTGTTGTTCAAAAATGTTCAAGAAAATTGATAAACTCCTGTTGTTCATAGTGTACGGCATAAACATATTCAAGATAGTAGTGCGCACAAGTGTGCCACTTGTGCACCCTCTTTTCAGATGCTGTCCCTATATAGTACAAAATTTGGACATTTTTTGGCTCTAAGTGAATTATGGTTCAGAACCCAAAATTGAAATGCCAGGCATAAGATATCCAAACGTTGTGGCAGTGATGTACACGTCGTTATGAGATAGATAGTCACCCTTAAATGCATCTGAGCCGTTGCTTTTAGAAAGGCAGCATCTTGACTAGACGGGTGAGATTGAACGAGGTTAGATTCCATTGTACATCGCACAAATTGAACATTTAAAAAATCTCTAAAAAGAATTGAATGTTTAGCATTTTCCCTTCTTTAAAACATGGGCCTTCAATTTTGGCCATTGAGAATTGTGACGGGAGTTGCTTTGGACCTGTTTTTGCTTTATTAGTGGAAATCAAATTGCGTATTTTTAAATAATGCATAAATGTATGGACACGGTTTCCATAGTCCGTGTAGAAACGAGTCACCTTTTAAAATTTTTTTTTTTGAGATGGATATTTGGACTTAATTTTTAAAGATATGTAATCTCTAACATGGAGATTGTGAATATTAAAAAAATTAATAAATTTAAAAAATTAATAAATTTAAAAAATTAGTAATAATAATTCTGTTGAGAAAACATTTAGACACGCTAGTTTCAATTGTTTTTAGATAGACTACCTATTTGCATCCATCTTTAAGATGGATGCCTTGTACCTCGGGGACCACAAATGTAGAAATGTAGTCCCCGCCGCATGAAATAAGTTCCCTAAATGTATATTGGCCTTTTTTGGAGGAGGAGGAGGAGGG